ATTATTAGATACATGCACGAAAAAACTATGGATGCCATGACTTACGTTCGTAATTTTGGGACTCCAAATTTGTTCATTACATTTACATGTAATCCAAATTGGATGGAAATAAAAAGAGAACTCAAACATGGTCAAACTACACAAGACAGACACGACATTATCGCTAGAGTTTTTCATCAAAAAATTAAAGTTCTAATGAACTTAATTGTGAAACATCGGATATTTGGTGAAACTCAGTGTTATATGTATACTGTTGAGTGGCAAAAAAGTGGTAATAAATGAATAGTATTATTTAATTATTATTATTTTTCTACGTATAATTATTCATTATTTAAGGTCTTCCTCATGTTCATTTACTGCCTTACTGGTTTGGTTAGTTGATAAAATTAGACCAAATGATGTCGATGATAAAATAAGTGCTGAATTACTAAACCTGGAAAGATCGAAAAATGTAAAAATCATCAAGAAATTTGTATTTATATATTCCCTATCCCCTCCCGAAAACCGCATATTAATCCGATGTCACTGGACAGAATTATTTAGTGTTACCTTGAAAAGGAATCACACTGTATTTATTATTGTTATTATGATTATTAATTATTTATTTGTTTGCACTTGCATTTTTCCATTTGAAATATATATATTATACATTGAACAAATAATTTATTGTTACATTTTTTTCTGCCTTATCTCTATTCTATAATAAAAAGAATAAAATGTACCACTCCAGTGGTTGAATTCTAAATGTAGGAAATATAATTTTCAGAAATTAGCAATAACAATAACTACAATATGTAATTATATTGTATTATTTGTATAGCCAAAAAATAGGCTTATGTTTTTAAATTAAATTATAAAAAAATAATTTCTTCCGGAGGAAGATCGGGCAGCTAGTATAAATATAATAATATAACTGTAATAGGTATTTACATATAGTTGTGTCAATGTTACAGACTACAGTGTGTATATACTATAATATACTCAATATAGGTACCTACTTAATAGACATAAATACATAATAATATGTCGAAAATGTAATAATTACAAAAGATTTAAGAAAAAACAATTTATTTGATGATCTTTATATTTTATACTATAAAAACTGAACTACTTGATGAAATACGATTATGTAGAAAAGTGAAAAGTAAGCAGTGAAGTACCATTAACAAATATCTATAAATGATGTTAATATCAGAACATTCAGAACTACCTAGTAATATATTTTAATATTGATATAATATTACAGCTTACAGCAGTAATTTCAAAAATATCATTCCCATCACACATATATAGGTACATAATGTTTATACTCCCAATGACGCTCAATAAAGACGTATTTTAGTTTGACGTTTTTATTATTGTTTTGTTTTTCTCCAAAATTAAATATTTCGATGAAATTCGTTTCTCGGTGTATTTCATTTCCGAACATTCATTTCTGTAGTTGTAGTGTACCTACTGTATAGTACATTATGCATGCCATCAATCATTATAATACATCCTTACACCATATCGTTTGTAAATCATTTATTATAATAATAATTTACACATATTACGATATCAGTGTAATAACACGAATCCACGTTGAACTCTTTCTCGTGCGACAACTGCACCAGTGGTACATTAAATACCGTGACGATGGGTGTGACGGTAGCGATAGATGGACAAATTGCCGGTTATTGACGCACGCCACACGTGTCCGGCACGCGCGCAGTATCAGTTACGCATCCACCGACGTCCCTTCAATTTTTTAACATAATATATTAATACAATTTAGCATATATCGCCTAGCAGCCCACTGGTACCATAATCGGGGAGCCGAAAAGCGGTCGACGTATTCAAGTTATCGGATTCGTGTCCAAAAACGGTTGGGGTTTTTAAAAAAATATAAATGTTTACAACGAAAATAACAGTTGTATTATACATATTATTATAAAATATAAAACTCAGAGCCGAGAGTAAAAAAATAAGAGCTTCAAAGGATTGAAGGTATTGAAATCGGATGTCAGAATCACAGAATAAATTAAAATTTTTTATTAGTTTATTATAACATATTTAATTTATTGTGATGTGTCAGTAGAATTTCGGCGTCATAGAACCGGCAAGTACCTATATCGAAAAACCCGTCAACTGCGACCAACCATCATATTTTAAAATGTGTTCAACAAAACATAATATTACGGTATTACTTTGGTATTTAACGGTACTTTGGTACATAAGTTATCATTCAATAGGTACTCAATTGTTTTACACTAATAATTAGTAATTACTATAGTATATTGGTATACGCTGTACAATCGGAATTTTAGCAAAAACCGGTAACCGATATAAGACGGTTTACACCGAAAACCCATCAACCTTATATTAAACCGTTTATTGTAAACAAATTATAATATGCTCCCAAACTAAAATATTAACATGTAAATATGAAAGTGTTGTATTTTAATTTTATCTTAACTCTTAGGTGGATTTCAATTTCCAGCACACGTAATGACAGTTTATGCAAATTTCGACATAACCTTTTAAATAGTGGTTAATTTTTTAATAATGAATGACTGCCGAGCGTAGCCAAGCCAAAAGTTTTTTAACATGGTATTTACCTACATTACATTTGTGCAGTACCTATAAATTAGAACTTTTTTATAATTTTATACGTTTTGAATAGTACTTACCAAAGATTTATACAATAAAATAATATGCTTCAACGCATCAGTATAGGCCAACGACAGACATACAGAATTAATGAATTATATTATTACCTATAATATTATTGTGCGAACGATATCATTATGATACCATACCACCTATAATATTATTATGTACGTGAATGATGTACCTACATTGAGTAGGCATACCGAAATGAACGTGCCGTGTAGCGTTTGTTATAGTTTCACCTGACCTAAACAATAGCGAAGGTAAGCGGGTTTTTTTTTTTTTAATGAATACTCAATCGTTTGAGAATTATAATATTATATAAATCTAAAAATGTACACCGTTGTAATAAAATAGACTGCTCTACGACGTGTAGTACACTTTTATTTGTCAAAAATTATATTTACTCAAAACATATAATATCATAATTATTATTTTAATCCTCATTAACATATATTTATAGGTAATTATACTGAGTTAAGTTGTATAATTTTTGGGTATAATGTAGCTCACTATTTCTACTAGTTATTTCTACTTTTTATCACTATTTGAATATCTTCTTAATAAATGATAAGTTGAAAAATTCAAAATTACAAAGTCTATTGTTATACGTAGGTACCTATACGCTATCTTTTAAGTATTACATTAATTACTTTCAGTATGAAATAATAATAAAATAAAAATGTATTAATTGTTTATAGATTATCAATTCAGACAATTACCTCTAACTATCCTAATTTCTTATAATTAAATTATGTTTTATGACATAATTTATCCAATGTGTAAGTTAAGATTTTTTCTGTTAAGCGTGATTTTGAACGGAAGTCGCTTACAAAATCCCTAAAGAGTCATGAAAATGGAATGTCATATTTACTACGTAAAAAATAGTTATTTTTTTATGCGAAAAACTCATGTCTGATCACAGCTTGAACGAACCCTGGGGACCAATCGTTTATTTCAAAGCACAGACCAATGTATTCATCATCCCCTTTCAGACTCCAGCAACTATTTTAGTTATTTTTACTGTGCTTGCTTTTAGTGTAATCAAAAATCAGTTATTTTGCTTATACTTCACGTATGTACATACAGTAATTGTGTGTGTAAAAAGGTTATACAGTTTATATCAATACCTATACCAAAGTTATAATTAGTTTAAATTATTATTTATTTTCAACTCATTTAAAATATATTATGTATTTAATATGTATGTATATCAATAATTAAAGTATACCTAAACGAACACCGGATCACGAAATGTATTTATATATGCCTACAAAATGAATAATATAAGTAGGATAGTCCCTTGAAGCGCTGTAGTCTTTAAATTTAAAATCTTTGAAAAAATTGTGCCGAGTGTAGTAAAATACATTTTTTTATCATACCTAAATTTACTAGCGTTTAATACAATTTCTTGAGGTATCTTATCTTACTGTTTACTCAAAAAATACTGTTCAATTTAAAAAAACTACCTCTCTAATTAACTGTAACCTGTTTTATTTTTTAGAAAAGCTGCACTTGTTGATCTTTCTCCAACCAAACCTCCAATGTATTTCCAAAAAAAAAAACCATGGTTGTAAAATATAGATTCTCTTTGCAACATTGAGAATCTAAAATAAATATATGATAAAATTGTCATAACTAGGTACCTATATATTCATAATATGTAACTGACGGATACTGCAGTGCTAGTAAATTAAGTATAAACGTTCTGTATTTAAAATCTTTATTATTTCTTGTATAGTAGGTATATATTTGAATACTGTTAACATTTAAGTTAGGGAAAGTGAAATATGTTTTATTAATGAATAATGGTTATAACAAATATCAACTGTTAACCCATTATTACCTGTGTATACCTATAAGATAATAATTTATATTAAATTAGCTTAAGTATTCTTAATAATAATTGAATTATATAATTAACATAACCTTTAGAATTATGGTAACACCTACCTTACCTACCTCTGAAAATGTTGAAAGTGAAAACTGACAAATCTATATTATGAGGCATTTATGACAAGTAAGACTGTACCTACGAGTTAATTATTAAATTATCATCGTTGAAATGTGGTCAAAGCTGATAATTTCTAATTTCAAATAAACCAATGAAACTTATTATTTGGCCAAAAAATCACACAGCGTATTTTTATCAAATAATAAACATAATAATATTTGTAACAAATACGCGGTCGATAGCATTTGTGCAATCAGTTTTTTTAACGAACTTTTTTTTAGAACGTGAAATTATGGACAACAACGTAAAAATGTTTTCAGTATAAAATCCAAACACCACGCGAAATTTCACATACAACCGTACATTGTCTGACCGCTTTCTTCAGGGCTGTTTCAAAATGAACTCATTAATAACAGCCGTGGCTGTGTTAGCCGCATCAGTGACTTTCTCAGTCGTCGAGGTAAGTGACATTATATATCAATATTATAACTATTTTAATAAGAAACGTACTAAATAGTGTCATATACTCATATGCAAACAACTATTTTAAAGTGTTTCTCGATTTATGGGTCGTAATTTTTTTTATCTGTCATAAACGCGTATAATAAGTTACAAACATTAAATTATATAATTACACTAAAAACCTATACTATAAGGGGGTCGTCCAATGTAAGAGAAGCACGGGATCACTTTTTCCCAGGCCTCATTCTAGGTCAATTTTTAGAGGCCCCATCAAAAACTACAGATGGAATTGCCCATTAGTCAGTATTAATAATACGTATTTATAATTAATTTTCTTTGCTACAATCTTTTTCTACGTGGAATTTCAACAATGCAATTTGATTTTGTTTCTGTAAACAGTGATTAAATTCTAATATTAATTTGGCGCTAGTCCCGAAAAACTTTGACACGTCTCTGGGCTCGTCGTATGTCAGCACTGGTTAGAGCATTTTAATTTATTGTTTTCTTTCCGTCCTACAGGCCACACCTATTAACTCGTACAGAAATCCGTCACCGACATGTTGCACCGTGGAACCATTTTGTGGTACAGTCGATCAGGACTCCGACGAGGGGTGCACTTGCAGTGGCTCATGGCAGCCACGTTGTTGCTGTCCGAATCCGCAAAACTGTCCTCATCCGCGTCGCTACAATCTGCCGAAGTGCAGACCACAACAACCGACGACATGTCCTCTCCCGTCTTGCATCGCCCCCCCAATAGCAACGACACCTATGCCCTACCAGACCATCCAGTACTCCCCGTGGTCGAGCACGTCCTGTCCAGACCTCCCCTGCTCGACCTCACGCCCTTCCCCATGCCCCTGCAGTGCACCTGTAGCAGCTCCAGCCGGTCCACCGTCTTGCGCCCCTCAGCAACTGCCCTGTCCGTTCTGTGCACCTCAGCAACAGCCGTCTTGTCCATGCGCTGGGCCACCCTTGCCGGTTAACTTCCCTTCCAACTTCGCCGATGAGTACATGTCGTCATCTACCCCATGTCTCGCGCCCCCGCAACGACCAATGCTACCGAAATTCATACCCGTCGCTCTGAAACCACTGTCGTTCAACATCAACAGGCCATCGGCTCTGTGCCGTCCTGGATTAGGTGTGTATGGTGGCCCAGCCCCGTCGATATTTCCATCGTTGGGATGCGATACTCCGTCACCTTACGAATTTTATAATTACAAATAATAATATAATATATAATTAATACTACAATAATATAATGTCTAATAAATAACCTACCTAGGTATATATAATTTATCATATTATACGTCTCTCAATATTATAATACAATTTGAATATTATTTTTTTCCACTACAAACTTATATTTCTGCGATTACTTAAAATATGTATAACGAAAATAAAATAGTTTAATGCCAATTCGGTAGTTTTTATTTTTTGTCCTCTTATTATTGATTGTTTGGAAAAAAAACGCCTTAGGCTTTTATAACTACAAAATATAAAGATAATCAATTGTTATTAATATATGTAACAGTCAAATATTTTATGAAGCATATTATTGTGAGTAGAACATTTTATTCCATTTGATCCTTGTTCATAAACTATATTGTGGTATAGACATTAATTTATTATATTAAACATATAATAGTAAAAAATACTTTCCAACAGACATTCAGTCGTACAACTATAAAGATCTTTTTTTATGTATAAAATATAAAACATTTTTTTTTGTGACCACAGGATAGTAAAAAAAATTTAATCATGCTTAGTTTTATGACGAAGTTTAATTTACTATAACTGTGAATTGATACCTTGGAAGATTTGGAATAGTATCATACTGTTGTTGAGCATTAGTTTGATTGTGTGTTCTTACGATTATTTTATCTACTGTTTAGATATTATGATAAATGAGTGACAGTTTGATAAAAAGTAATTTTTTATATAAGTGTATTAACCAAGAACGTGATTTAATAAATAACAAATTGCTAACAGTTTTTAGTATATAAACCTTAAAGAAATGTTTCCATCACTCATTTCAGTGAAATTAAAATACAATATGGCCCTCAGTTTTGGAACTGTAGTGGCTCTAGCTATGCTTCAAATGATAACGAAGGTAAGAAATATCATTAAAATAAATTAACTAATAATACAAATGGTTTACAAACCTCAATTAATATAAAATTTAAGCAAATTAGTATTATCTCAACTAGGTATGCAACTGGATACCTAGGTACTTATTTGTATTGGCTTTATTTAGCTTGGAAAGTTCAAAATACTTGGGTATACCTAGTACCTACTACTATAATAACATAATATATAATAATAATACAAAAAATATTACTTGGATAATATCATTAGAAAATCAGCTATTTTATTTTTATAAAAACTTTTAATATTAAATTGGTACTATAGGAATTTTCAGTGGACATAATTGTTGTTCTTTTGTACTATAGTAATTGTTAGATATATTTTGTTCATTCGTTATCCGTTATAGGTACCTATAATTACGACGAGTACTTCAAAATTGGTGGAAGTAAGATTTTGATTGAAACCTTTAAAAAATCAACAGCTGCCGAAGTTACTATTATTTGCCAGTCATATTACCTAATTACTTTTTTAACATACTAAAGACAATTTAAGCATACTCAAAATCGTCGGAATAATAAAATATTTTTAGCTGGCAGGTAGGTGTAGCCGGTGTAGGTACTCATTGAAATTTGTACGGTATGATCTTCAAACAAATCTACCTTATAAAATTCTAAAGTTTTAATTTAATTTTAATTTTTAAAAGCCCATGGTGAATGTTTCATTTAATTAATATGAATTCATAGACATATTTGTATGCAGTAAGCGATTCATATAATATGGAATTTGTAATTTGTAAGCTTCCACATTTATGCACTATAATAACCGATCATTTGTAACTAATAATATTATTAAGTGTACCTAATGATTTTTTTAGATCAGCAGTGCAGGTCGTATTAACTCGACTTATCCACGTGGATTGCATGGAATCAATCCCGATTCGTCAGATTTGTTGTCAAATATCGAGTATTCTCCGTCTTCTCCGTCATCTTTACCGAATTTAGTTTCTACAACAGCCTACTAATGCATCAGAGCCTTTGTCAAATTCAATTCTCACTCAACCATCGACGGCTACATCATTACTTTCATCTATTTCTACTTCTACTCCTAAACAACCATCCACAACATTAAGATTACCAAGTAAAATAGTTGATACTTTAGCCATGTCCTCTGCACCGACATCGTTACCATTAATGAGTACAAATCTTACCCCATCTACGTCTCCTATATCTGTATCGTTGAAATTAGCAAATTTAAGTATTACACCATCTGCGTCATCTGGATATAACCTAGTGACTTCGCCGAGTTCAAATTCTACTCAAGCTCTATCACCTTCATCAACTTCATTAGAATCTACAAGTTTAGATCCTACCTTTATCATAACTTCTCCATTTAATGTACAAAGTTCAGCTCCCATCCTATACACATCTGAATTATTAGAGCCACTTTGTACAACTCCTACTCCCGTTTTATCTACTCATTTGTATTTATCAAAGTTAACTCTTAATCTTGACCGGCCAACTGTACCTACTGCTTTATACTTGCCGAGTTAATTTCCTACTCCAGTTTCTTCCCCTGAATCTTCTTCAGTGCCTTTATTAAATTAAATTCCAAGTTCATAACTGACCCCAGTATCAGAATCAGCTTTACCTTCAATGTCTGAAGAAAGTATGCCTAAGTATAAATTTACTAGGACTTGTATTTAAACTCTCAGCTCTATATCGGAATCCCAATATAAGGTATTATTCTGTTTCATGAACACAATTTTTTAACACTTCCTCAATTTACTAAATGTTAACTTCCTTTTTTGATCTATTCGTTAGCATTCTAAAAAATCGTTTACTATATTGCAGCTCTCAACTACAGCTAAAAGTTTGTGTCTATCCGTTTGTGTTATTTGAAAATCAAGGTCATATTATGTATGTATATTGTATACAGTATACTTTAATAATAATGTATTTCACTTTTATAATAAAATTACTTTAATAGTTATGACTAGTTAAAAATCAGATATTGATGGAAAAGTGTTTATAATATAAACATTAACGTTTCTCAAAGACAAGAACTTACATTTTAGATTCTAAGTGAAACGATGAATATATTGATTTTACAATGATGTGTGTTTTTTTTTTATTTTTTTTTTAATTTATAATTTTTTTTTGTGTCTGTCATCACGTTTAGGACAGTAAAAGTGCTTGGATTTTCTTCAACAGTAACTTTTCTGATAGGAAAGTGAATTTAGTTGGTACTTTGGGGGGTCAAAAGTAAAAATTTCCCAGTAGTTTTCACAAGCGCCGGGAAAAACAACATAAAAATTAAGGAAAAACGGGAATTTTTACGCAAAATCGGTTTTCCAAAAAATCGATTTTGGTTTTTAGTGTAACTCTAAAACTAATGAACGTATATAAATGAAATTTTCACTTGTTGTTTATATTTGCATTTTCTATACACGATAATATTTTCAAAATATTTTGATTTATTTTGAACTGTTTAGGGACATTTTAATTTTCCATTTGTTTTTAGTTTTTTTTTCTAAAAATATCAATAAAATTTTATTTGTTGGTTGCAAAAGCTTGAAAATTTAATAGAAGGCTCCTAGTATATTGTTTCAAAGGCAGATGAAAAATATTAAAAATCCTTAGTCACAGTTATTTTTTATAAGCATTTAAAGTTCAAAAATTGACAAAATATGGAAAAATTACGAAAATTAGCAAATTATTTTGAGTTAAGAATTCGTAAAAATTTTTCTTTTTAAATCTAAGATTTGAAAATGTAATATAAGATTCCTTATAAGATTATCTACCTTTATCAAAAAAAAAATGTCTATAAGAAAGTCAAATTAAATTTTTATGAGCGTTTGAAATTCAAATTTTTATAACATTGGATATTCACTCGATTTCTCATGTAGCGATTTCCTTATTTTGTTGTAATTCAAAAACGAATAACTGTAGATACATGAAAATTTCACTGAATGTTTATATTAGCATATCCTATACACCATATAATTTTGAAAATATTTTGACTCTTTTTGAGCTGTTTACGGACATTTACAGTTTTCAATTTTTTTTAGTTTTTTTTTCTATAAATATCAATTAAGTTTCATCTGTTGGGCCAAAACGTGTAAAAATTTAATACAAGGCTCCTGATATATTGTTACAAAGTAGTTGTAAAATATTAAAAATACATAGGTACAATTTTTTTTTATAAGAATTTAAAGTTCGAATTTTGACAAAATTTATTAAAATTAATCGAAAATTATCAATCATTGTAATAAATAAATTATAAAATCTTCAGTTTTTATAGCTAAAGATTACAAATTTATAACAAAGGTTCTCATAAATAGTTCATACTGTAACCAAAAAATCCAAAAAATATATGAACACAATTATTTTTTACAGACATTTTAAATTCAAATTTGGACGAAATTACATAATAAAAAACCTAGAATAACTATTTTAGTTATTTTGTTGTGATTGTATAATATTATTCGTGGGTACTTGAAACTTCTAAAGTATACTACTATGTATCTATGATAGTATCAGGGTTTGTTGTTGGTGTATAACGCGTTTTAAGTACCTAATGGATATTGTGATATGATTAATTTGGAATTCATTATAGGTCAATTTTTTTAATACCATAGATAAGTATATAATATGTCTTGTACCTAGAAGGACATACCGTCTCCGCTCAGAATCGTTTTTTTATATAATGATATAATATCATTGAATTCAAATGTAATACCATCCATTATACAGTTACCCACTTGTAACCTACTGTACAGCAGAGCGACACCCACTTACCCACCTTTTTATATATTCAATTCAATAATTGAAATACAACACACTTTTCAAATTGTTATATGCAATAATGAGTTAAGTACCTATTTCATTTCGGATTTCCCCAACGTTTTTTTTAAGACGCTCTTTTTTCAAATTTTCATTACATTTTTTTGATTTTCACTGTACCTTATATCAGACTTGGATAAAAGTATTAAACCAACGAGTTACCACATTTAACTCTTTGGACCTGACTATATTTTGGTAGATTATGTGTTAAACTTCCATTCTAAAAAATTTTAACGGGTTTAGGGTTAGTAAAACGTCTAAAACTCGGTGGGCCATACTTACCCTATCACCCAACTGGCGCTGCCATATATTATGCAATAGGTATAGTGTATACTGTATACATCCATAATATATATTTGTTAAGACATTACCTTTATATATTTAATTAGTCAATATATAGTAATCAATAATACTGGATAACTACTTGGATCCATATTATATTACCACATCTATCAGTTATAACAACCTTTAGAAAACGATTTAATAATAATACTGGTAAAATTATTATACTCTTTTAGTTTGAAACTATCATCAAGTGGTTTTTAGTTAACCAAAAAACCCATGGTTTTAGATTGGAATATGTATAATATACCAACGGGATTTTGGGATTTTATTGCAAATATGATATATTTCAATATCTGTTAAAAATCTCTCTGTTTTCATTAGTAATTTATTCAAAAACAATTTAAAATTTTCCAAATTGTATATGTTTTACAGAAAACTAGACAGTCGAATTGATTTGAATTTGTCAACCTTAGCAACGGGGATAATAAAACGAATCAACTGCAATTAGATAAAAGCAATATTACTATGTTAATTGTTACAAGTCTAATATTTGCTCAATGAAACTGAACTGTTCATTGGTATAATTTCGTAATTCTATGAACATTAAATACGCCCACCATGAATATTATAATATGGTTAACTGGACTTCTATTAGCATTTGAATGCGACTCCGGACGACTAACTTGTGTTCCACACTCGTAATTATACATTTCATTATGCATTCAACGACATGAAACAATTATCAGTATGATAATTTAAATCATTTGGGCTATACGTTTTCATAATATTATGTTCATAAATCATAAGCCAGCTTAAATTACACTCATATATTATTGGTACTTATAATTTTTGATAATAATGTTACTAAAACAATATGTAACTGAACAAATATTATACATTATAATAATTGATAATTAATAGGTAGTTCAGTGATGTACACACGGGGGGGGGGGGTGTCCAAACTTTAGTATTTTTTCAGTTTACGTAATTACGTAAAAATGTATAATAAAAATGATGACAATTTAAAAAAAAATTAATAGTACTAATAAAAATAAATACAAAATTAAATTAAGGGAATTTTAGTGTTACCGTCACAATCGAGTTTCGATTAAAAATGTACTTCGAGAAGACCGTCGTCACCGAAGTTATTATTAGATATGGGATATTCCAAATTATACTCCATTATATTATAACTTATAAGTTATAAGCAACCCAGTTTGTTGTTATAATATATATATATATTGTAGATATTGATCATATTATTGATAACTTGTTACAAATTAATGAAATTATTGGGAAATTTGTTCAAACACAAACATGAGGGTCGACAATCGTGTAATCCGATGTTCCAATATAATATGCCTTAATAGCTATCTAAGCTATCGCAGTATCGCTAATACTGTAGTATAGAATCTATTTCTCAGTTCTCAATAAAATTCCTGACGCTTTGGACGTTTAGTAAATTGTGCTTACTGTTTAAATATATTTTATAAAATAATAAAAATGAAAATAATAAACGAATATTTTTCTAACTCACTAATTTGTGATACAATTAACTCGGAGGAACCAGGTAAATATTTAATACATTATATTATCAACCTAGGACCTAGGTACAAAAAAATGATTAATATGGTAAAAATAAATTTCTCTTTATACCTATCTTTTATTGAATTGTATATAATATATTATTATATACTTATTGTATGGGCGCGTGTAGCTTTGTAGTTATACTAAATAATTACCTGTAGGTAATAGGTATATATTTTTAAATAATAATCTAGAATTTATTGTAAAAATATTTTTAATTTCACCTTAAGTCATTGCTTATGAGCCGATTTCTCATTATGTACAAAATAATTACTATAGGTACATCGTTTTGATTTATCAATGTATAATATATATATATATATATATGTATATAATTTTTTATATGTAAGCCCCCCCTCATTGAAAATAGTTGTGTACGCCACTGAGGTAGTTAATGTAAATACTTATTTATTGTTTCATTAATTAAATAATGTTTGGTAGGTATTAAAAAGTCACTTTAGAGCACACTATAACAATTGTTTGGACAAATAAAAATAAATAAAAACTAGAATATATTAATTCATTATATTCTAATATTCTGGTTAAATCTTGTTTTTATTATTATATTTTAAGTAATTTCAGACACACTATTGAGTATTTGTTAGTATGTTCGCATCGAAAAGTTATTGTGTATATTATATATTTTCGATAATGATTATTAGTTTAAAAACATTTATTTACACATATTGCTTAGAAGTTTGAATTCCAGTTTGGTCTGAGCAGGGATTAATATATATATATACATTAAATATTTTGGTACTTATACATAGGTAATCTAACATATATGTGATATAATATTATTAAAAACCTAAAATACTATTCCCTCATAAGTCATT